CGTGAACAGATCAGTGAAAATGACTTGGACTCTCATGTAGTTACCTTTTGTCATCTCTCTTTTTCTTTATTTAATCAAGGGCCCAGGCTTGCCTGGTGACTCATGCCTGTAATATTAGCCCTATGGGAGGCCAAGGCAGAATGAGCACTTGAGCTCAACAGTTAGAGACCAAACTGAGCAAGAGCAAGACCCCCTTCTCTACTAGAAATAGATAAATTACCCAGGCACTGTGGTGGGTGCCCATAGTTCCAGCTACTAGGGAAGCCAGAATAGGAATATCCCTTGAACCCAAGAGTTTGAGGTTGCTGTGAATTAGGCCAGTGCCATGGAAATCTAGGCTGGGTGACAGAGCAGAGACTCTGGCTAAATACATAAATGAGTAAATGAATGAATGAATAAATAAATAAATCATCAAATCAATTGCCTGAATTCAGAATAAAAAGCACAACAAGGCGCGAGGATTGCTTGTGCCCAAGCATTTGAGGTGGCTGTGAACTAGGCTGAGGCCACAGCACTCTAGCATGGACAACAGAGAGAGATGCTATCTTAAAACAATTTAAAAGGCAGCGCCTGCAGCTCAGTGGGTAAGGCACTGGCCACAGACACCAAGCCTGGCAGGTTTGGGCCCAGCCTGGGCCTGCTAAACAACAATGACACCTGCAACCCAAAAACAGCCAGGTGTTACAGTGGGCACCCATAGTCCCAGCTACTAGGGAGGGCGAGGCAGGAGAATCACATGAGCTCAAGAGTTTGCAGTGAGCTGTGATGCTACAGCTCTCTACTGAAGGCAATAAAATGAAACTGTGTCTAAAAAAAAAAAAAAATCAAGGGCCCAAATTAGGGAGTGTAAGGGCATCAAAATAACGTGCTGCTGCCACAGGCTGGGACTGAAATGTGCTGACTTGCCAGCAGCGGGTCAGATACCAGAACAGGCCTATGGCTGCAGGGCAGGCCTAAGGATTTTATTTGGCCACTGAAATCACAAGTGGGCAAAATGCCCCTGAAGTAATATTTTATCCCCTTATAAACTGAAGCCATGCTGCTTCACAGTGACAAATGATAGTATGAGGAGAATAAACACTGATCTTTCAGGCCCCAGAAGACACTGGCTTCCTAACCCCACTTAGCTCTCCCCAGAGTGCAGGCAGAGGGAGTTCTCCTAATTGACGTCAGCTGCTGTAAGGGAAGGAATGCCATGACCTTAAACTTGGCCACCGGTCCACTCTCACATCCAGGAACAAAGCCAGAGGGTTCTCCTGGCAACTGCCTGACATGCTAAATGGCAGGCCCAGCCACTGAGGGAATCCTTTGCTGCCCCTGGGACAAATCCCCCACTGCAGGAAACAGACAAACCAGAGAGATTAGCAGTTTGCCCAGCTAATGCTGACCTCTCCCGCCCAGAGAGCAGAAAATGAGTTCTAAATCACTCTATTCAAAACCTAAGCTCCTGGTCTCTTTTGCTTTACAAATGAGCAGAATGTTCTCTGGTAAGTCAAAGGGAAAACAGGAAAATATGAGAGAACTGCAAGGAGAAATGTAGTCAACTGGATCCATGAGTAAACCATTTCACACTAAAGAAATCTTTAGGAGATACTGATTTTTTTTTTTAAACACTAAACTAATCAGATGTTGAAAAATCAAGTTTAGAAATCACATTTTTAAAGGCCCTGTAATACAAATTAGATTTAATCCCTGTACCCTGACCAAGTCCACCAGCATCAGAGCTCCCTGGGACAAATATAAAAGCTTCTTATCAACAAATGCCTCCCAACTCCACCCTCCTCAACTAGGATGCCAGTCTAGCCACAAACCTGATCATGTAACTCCCCTATGCAAAGATCCCCTCAACCCTTCACTGTGTACAGAACAGTATCAGAATGCTGCCTATGAAGGGCAAGTATCTGAAGCTGACCTTCCAACCTCAGTCTCACTCTCCCCACCCCACCTCTCATAAACTTCTAAACCAGTGGGTCTCAACCTGTGGGTCTAGACCCCTTTGTAACAATGAAAATACATCAGATATTTTCTGCATATCAGATATTTACATTACAATTCATAACAGTAACAAAATTACAGTTATGAAGTAGCAACAAAAATAATTTTATGGTTGGGGGTCACCACAACATGAGGAACTGTATTAAAGGGTCGCGACATTTAGAACCACTGTTCGAAACCCTCTTTTCTCACAGCAAACCTCAAAGAACACGCCTTGATACTTTACAAAAAGTAACAGTGTCTTCAGTATGCACGTTTTATCATCTGTAGTCCTAGCCTTCTGAAGTAAGTTCTCAATGCATATTGAGGACAAACAGGACTCCAGCTATTTAATGGTTGAACTCAAAGACGGAAGAGAATAATCAATGGGCACTGTGAGGGAAACAGTAGCCACTTAGAAGATAGGAAAATCTTCTGGCTTTCAATTAGCTATATCCACTTGGACATTCTCTCATTTGCTTGAATAAATCTAGATTATATCCTTTAATTTAATCAACAGGTGTACTAATCTTTGGTTAAATATCCTATTTCGTTTTTCCTGGTATATGCTGAACTCTTGGAGGGCAGAACACAGGTCTTAGTCACCTGTGTCTAATCCCTATCATCTGAACTAAGGAAACGCCCCATAAATGGTTGTTAAATTAAATTACTCAAATGAGTTCCCATGTTGATATTTACCTTATTTCTAAAAATATTTCGTTGTATGTTCATGAGGAAAGAAAGAGAAGTTTAACTTAATTTTCAGAAAAAGTCAAGAGGGAAAATACTTTTCTTTATGGAATACTTCCAACACAGAAATAAATTCTTCAACTTAAATCTCTGCAACAGTTATTGTTATTAGGCAAGTCAACACAAAGAAAAAAGCAGAGCTTGCTTCATGCCTCCCTTATTTCAGTTGGGATCTAATATCGTTTGGATAACTGTCCCCTTCTAATCTCCTGGTGAAATGTGATTTTCGATATTGGAGGTGGGGCTTACTCGGGGATGTCTGGGTCACAAGGGTGGGATACCTCATAATCAGGGATGTTTGGGTCACAAGGGTGGGATACCTCATACATGGGTTGGAGTAAGTTCTCACAACCGCTGACTGTGAAAAGAGCCTGCCCCTCCCTCCCTCCTCTTTCTTGCTCCCTCTCTCACCGTGGGAAACACCTGCTCTTTTTCCCCCATGAGTGGGAACTTGCTGCAGACCTCACAGGAGGCAGATGCTGACGCCACACTTCTTACCCAGCCTACAGATAAACTTCATCTCCGCTCCCCTGGGGAGGGCTGGCTCTCCTCTCTAAATTCATATGCCTCATCCACACCCCATGAGGAGACGTGCGCACTGCTTATCTCTCTCTCCAGAGGGACAGATGCAGGCAGGGATCCAGGCAGCGTCCTGGTCCTTCTGTCTTCTCCCAAATAAAGCATGCTGAATCTTCAATTATTCAATATAAAATCCTAAATTATTTATTGTTTTATAAACATTTGAAGGTAGAAGCTTTGTTCAATGAAACATTAAAGTGTTAAAGGAATGAGAGAATATACAGATTTCCAATAACTAAGTCACTAATTCCTAAGTTTTTCTTGAATGAGGGCAAACTATGGCAGATGTTAGCATAACTCTTCTCTAAACATCTGAGAGGGAGACATTTTTATTAGTAAAAAGGAAGAGGGAAGTACTAGAGAGGAAGAGCACAGTGGCTTTGTATACGAATACAAAATATTTGTCTAACTTTTCCTATCTGCTATACTTAATGCTGAATTCCGTGCTAGAAGTCACTGGTCGGTAACTTAGTCTATAGTTTGATTCAGTCTCCACTGGTTTGACAGCAGCTTCATACCCCCGGAGCCAATTCCACCCTCTGCCTGACCCTAACCACAAGTTATTGTGTTTTTTTGAATTACAAACCAGAAAGATCGTATCATCAGCTGAAATTAAGTTGTAAGTAATGTAATGTCTTTGGACTAGAAATCATTAGGGTCATTTTGATCAAGGAAGGTATAGTCTGATAGTTCAAGAGAACTATCTTTCTTTTAACAATCACATTCAAATATATACTTGAAGACCAATAATTATAAAAGAACCAATGCAAATATACTTAAATGTCCCTTTATTTCCAAAAAGGCACTATTCTATGTCTCAAGGTTTTTCTACACCAAAATGATAATATATATTTGAAAAGAAAATAAACATTTTTTGCTTCTCTAAAAGTGAAAATGCACCACTTCAGCAAACTCCACAAAGGGTACACGTATATAAAATTTTTCAGGCAAGACTTAATTTTTATGGCCCAAGAGAGGCGCACTTAAGCAAGACATGTATCTGACCCTGAGAATTAACACAACCAAAACACTGGGAGAGCAAAGTTTCACTTTCTAGGCACAAAATGCTACATGAAGGAGAGGAGATGAACTTCTTCCTAAAGTCTAGTGTTTCTCAAACTCTCAAGTGAATCAGAATTCCCCAGGGGACTCGATAAACTGCATGGTGTTGAGCCTTACCCCAGACAGTCAGACCCAGTCTTTCTGGAGCAGAGAATTGGAATTTACATTTTAACAGGTTTCTAGGTGACGATGATGGCAATGCTAGCCTGGGGATCACACCTGGAGAAACCCTGCTTTCCTGTCACTGTGGCAGTATTATGACACTTTGTCTAACTAATCTTTACCAATAAATAGCCCAGGCTCGTTATGTCAGGAAGTGTATTTACTGACAAACAAGATCACTTCTTAAGTAAAGCATCACCAGAGAAATCACCACCTCCAAGTTGGGCACTACCTTTTGGAATATCACAATGTCATATATATTAAACACATGAAAATAGAAATATTTGTGTATATATAAAATGTTCTTAGATCTTTAATGTATGAATTCAACAGTAAAAGATTATGAGGGGAAAAAAAAAAGATTATCATGAGTGAGGTATCTAAAGACTCATTAGTAGCTAGGACTTTTGACTTGATGTTACAAAATAACAAAGTATACACACGAGTAGGTGGTCTCCATCCTCAGGACTTACCTGTGACTGGTGCATCAATATCCAGCAAGTTTTTTTCCTGTCGAAGAATCGAGGCACCCTCTGTGATTATTCTCAGTGCAACACTCTCTTCCAGCCTGCCTTCCTTCATGAGATGTGCCTTTAAGATATCCACACGTGGTTTTCCATCATTATCAAACACTTCCTTTGCTGTAAGCCGATGACTTGGAGGAAATGGGACAGCTGAAAGAGAAAAAGGCAAGTTATTACATAAGCCAACATATGCCAACCGAAAGATTCCATAATAACGACCAAATAATCCACCCCATCATGAACCACCTCATGCATTATTTTGAAAGTTCCCACAGTAAAATACGATCAAGGGCCATCAAAAATGAAAGCCTGCCTCTTTCCTTCAATTCTAGATATAATGCAATTGCTTAAATAAAATTTATAGCTCTTATTGGTTCTATAATCTCTCTTGCATCCTACAGAGGGGTCCAATCTTTTTCTTTTCTACCACACATTGAAAAAAGAGGAGTTATCTTGGCCCATACATTAAATACACAAACACTAAGAAAAGCCAGTGAGCAAAAGAAAAGGTCCCTGCAGGCTTTTTCCAATATCCAAACCACAGATAAGCAAAACAGTCCCCAAATAAGCTGCATGTGACGTCCTGATAGAAAATCTTGATTGAGTTAAAACAAAAAGATACTGAAACGGTTTTCAGTTAGACAATAATCAATTCGGCAAAAGAAAATCATTGCTATACGCCTAATCATAACCAGTTCCTTCAAAGATCTGTCCTTATGAGAAAACAGGTTCCTCCACTAAGTTAGAGGATTGAGAAAAGGTCTGTTTAACCAGACTTGCTGCTCTAACCAGAGTCAGATCTCTGAGCTAACTCATCAACTCACTGCTTAAGAAAAAAGAGCAGAAATCTGAAAGCACAAAGGCACAGGTGTGCTGGATACTGAATGGGCTATCAGGACTGTGTGTGACAGTGTGCATGCTGGTGGCTGAAGGGACCCCTGAAGAATAAGGAGACAGAATGATGTCAGAGGGGAGACACAGGTATTTAGGGATGTGATAAAATGACAAACTCCATTATCACTCAGACTTGGGGCCAACCATTCTGTCACTCACCCCAGAACTTCTTAACAGTCAAGAAGATAGTTCTTGTGTTCCTATAGTTATATATCTATGAGTACCTTCACCATTCCCCAGAGGAGATTCACTAAACTCCTATAACACACCAGGGCAACCGAAGCTCTATGGTCAGAGATGGAATTATGAAGGTTGGGTTACTAATAAGTAGCCAGTAAGCATTTAAAACTCACAGTTTTTCTCTATTTCACATGAGGATTGATTCACTGGAGAACAACTCAGATCCACTGGAAGCATCTGGTACGGACCGTGTACAGTGACATATGCACAGCATCTCATAGGAAGCCTCCCCTCTTAGGAGAAGCACTTGATATGGAGGCACAAACCTGATTGCTCCCACTTCCTAACAATTGTTTCTCAAAGAAGCAAGACTTACAGCAGACCTATGCTAAAGCCTTTTGAGTAAGCTAATAGCATAGATTTGTTATCTGAGTCAAATTACAAGTACTTATGAGAAAAGCAAAATCAAAAATGAACCTGTGCAGCTGGCTGCAAGTGGGCTGTTTCCTAACAATCTAATCCTATTTATTTCATTCTGCTGCCAACATGAAGTGGCAGTGAGAGGCTCAGTGGGTGAGCACAAGGCCTTTGCCTTCAGAGGAAGGAGCCTGGGTGCAAACCCGGACTCTGCACGCTCACTAGCTGTATGACCTTGGGCAAGTTAAATAACATCATTTGGCTCAGTTACCTCATTTGTGAAGTGAAGATTACATCCATCTGAGGATTGTTATAATAACTAAAGTAAACAGTAATAGTAGCTAACATTTATAGAGTACTGCTTTTATGCCAGGGATTGTGTGGATAATAAAATCAAACACGACAGTAAAATTGTAAGAGGAGTAAGACATATCTACATGTGTTTATACATAAACTTACTTAGTCCCCACAACATTACTGTGAGGGAGAAACTTGAGGAGGAAAACTATTAAGCACCTTGCCCAAGATGATAATCTAGTGACTTATGTGTAGACTCACTGAGTTTAAACAGTCTGCTGCCTGAGTATCTATAGCAACTATGCTGCTTTTTCAAAAAAGTATATAAGATACCGCCTAACAGGTAAAAAGTGATTAGTAAATCACTTTCTAAAAACTGAAATTCTAATGAATGTTCATATGCATTTCTTATAAAGAGCCCTTGTAGTTTCAAAAAATATTTTGAATATACATATATATGTATACACACATGCAGTGTAAAACAAAAGACAGAATGTATAATGTCAAAGTCATGTGCAATAAGAGAAAATTCAAGAATTAAATGAGGTGGAGAGAAAAGGAAGAAATTTGTTCATTACACTTGAAGCCCTGGGGGGACATAGTCTTTTTCTTCATTGCCCTTATCTCTTTTCCGGGCCTGACCCACACGGTATGCTTGTTAAGGAAACACAGAGACATTTCAACTGCCACATTCTCTATGTAGAACTTTACATGTTTTGAGATTAGAAAATGTCTTACAGCCAGGTATGGTGGCTCAGGCCTGTAATCCTAACATTTTGGGAAGCCAATGTGGGTGGGTGGCTTGAGCTCAGGAGTTTGAGACCAGCCTGAGCAAGACTGAGGCTCCATTTCTACTAAAAAACAAAACAAACAAACAAACAAAAAAGAAGCTGGGCGTTGTGGAAGCCACCTGTCGTCCAAATTACTTGGAAGGCTGAGGCAAGAGGATTGCTCAAGCCCAAGGGTTTGAGCTATGATGATGCCATAGCAATGTACCCATGGTGACAGAGTGAAACTCTATCTTAAAAAAAAAAAAAAACCTACAAAATATCTTAACTAGCAATTCCTCCAAAATTTCTAGTCCATAGGTTAGTCGAGATAAGGGATCAGGGCTAGAAAGGGGAAAACTTCAAAAAGATGCTTGTGGTAAGAACGAGAGTTAAATGAAAAAAATATGTATAAATATATATGAAAAAATATATATATATTTCCCAAGGTATGAGTTAGGCAACTGTGGAAGGTGTTTAAGTGGTTCTGCTAAACTATCAGGCAAGAATCACAGACACAGACGGGAAGGCGGCTGATTTACTGTCAGGCAGATAAAGCAGTGTGGGATCTCTGCCACACATGCACTTGCTGGCCTTATTAAACTTAAGATAGATCAAAGGATTAAACCTAAAAGTGCTGAAGCATTTAAGAAGGTAAGAGGCAAAGTGAGAGCATCCCAGGGAGACTTCACCTTCATGATTAGACTTTCTCCAAGTCCTCAGAATTTCTCCAAGGCCAAGATCACTGCAATAACAGATGTTCCACCCTTCACTGCAGATCTTTTACCTTCCAGTAATTGCTAATCCTAAAGGTAACTGGCTAAGGTAAAGCCACCTGCTCTGAGTTACTGGAGCTGGTTCCAAATAACCAGGGGTGAGAAAGGAAAGGAAAAAAGCCAATCAGAGGACTCTATTTCCAACTGGATGATAGGGACCCTGATGAGATGCAGTTCTTCACCAACTGAACAGATGGCAAGGCCTACCGGGAACCAAGATGGGCAGCAATGATGCCAAAGATCGAATGCAGAGATGCTATCAGCCAGAGAGAAGTTTTCTGGGACAAAAATAAAACTGGGCTAATATTTGTATATTTGTGCACCTTTTGGCTTCATAAAGAAAATACCAGCCTTTACAAAGGTCACATTTATTTGCTTTTCCTGTTCACCTAGAGTCCTACATGAAGACCTGTGCCAAATATTGAACGAAAAATAATTTGGACCAAGGAATCCAACAAGCTTGCAACACAGTTCATTAACTCATTGTGAAAGCAGCTATTCTTAACGTAACAAAACCAAACTTCCCCTTTTTCCCTTTCTTTCGAATGTTACAACAAGTTGCTTCCACTGATATATGAGCAGTCCAGGACAATAGAAATTAGGTTTGTGCATACCACTAAAAATCCAGAAATAGGTGTTGATATTTGGGCTGGCTCTTTCCAATACAATTTTTTTTTTCTTTTGCAGTTCTTGGCCAGGGCTGGGTTTGAACCTGCCACCTCCAGCATATGGGGCCGATGCCCTACTCCTTTGAGCCACAGGCACCACCCCTCCAATACAATTTTTTAATTATTGCCTGCACCTTCTGAGCCCTCCACAATTTCCATTCAATGTCACATTTTCCTCAAATTAATAAAAGAGCAAAGTAGTTAAAATGGGGGGAGGCCTATCAGACTTTGGCCCCTTAACAGGAAATATCACTATAACTTAATGTACACAAACAACATACTAGACTAGAATCATATTCTCGTGTCACTGTGGAAATCTAGCAGAGACTAATTTCCAAGGTCAATGATATGATATTGTCTCTTTTCTATTTGCTCTTTGCACCAGAGAGTTTATCTAGCTGATATGAAGAAAAGTTTACTAGTGTACCTACGAACCACAATCATATGCATCCAATCTTGCCATCTAGAACATAGTGATTAGTAACGTATTGTCAGTTACACATTCACCAAAGAGAAAGGCATTCCAGTGCACAAATACTTTGTAAGAGTAATTCCACCCCTCAGTTCTGGCTGACTGAGAGATCCACATCTCAGAGAGACCCAGGGGCCTTGGGCTGATCTGTGGCTAAATCAGTTTTAGAGTACCACTATGTGGTAGCCATCAGCCATCTGTCGTGATTCTGGGATAGAACAGGAACCTGGGACTTCTGTTTCTCAACTCTGAGTCGCTTACGCCTCTACTGGAGGGATTGCCACTATTTCACAGGAAGCATCTGAGAGTCACTGTCATGGTGACACCTTCACCAAGAAGGGAAGCCGGACACCTGTGGAATGATCTCTTACCTCCTCCTGGAGTCTCCTAAACACTGACAGAAGAGAATCACAGACCTAAGACAATATGTAACCTAGTGATTTTTCAAACCTTTATTCTGCTTTTTTTTTTCCCTCAAATAAGACTGCAACTAAAAAGTCCAGTCTACCCAGTGGATGTAACTGACTAAAGCAGCTTGCTTGCCCCCCTTCTCCCTGATGATGGCTGCTGAGGAGTGCTTACCCAATCCTGGGGCCTCTGGAGCAACACCAGAAAATGCCCAACCAAGGCTGCCCCTCCTCCCCTAGTAAATGGAGAGAGTGAAGTCCAGAGAGA